AGATGTGCTGGCGCAGGGGGAAGCACTGAAGCAGAATCTGGATTTGCATATGCTGCATACGAGCTTTTTGGGCGGGTTGAGGAATGGAGCGGTGCCGGAGGGTGGATATAAGAAGGATGAGGAGTTTGAGTTTCCTGGGTTTTGAAATTTGAGATTTGGATATATCGCGGTTTTTGGACTTAGTTGTGGCTGGTACAGATTGGATGGAATTGGAATAATTGATAATATCTCTGGAAACTATTTGCTCCGGTAGAACTCATCACAATTCCACTCTCAGGATGCGCAGGGTATACTGACAAGACCTCTGGCCCCTCGTGCATGCTCAGAGAAGTGAAGCGAAGCTCTATGGGGGCCGTTGTAACTTAGAAAAATTCGCACAGTGTGATATGCAGAATACCAATATTACCTGGTTTGTAAAATGCAAGGAAGCGGGGGTTTCTCTTTTTGTTGGCCGTTTTGTTTGCCATTGCCAATGCCAATGGCGGTAAGCGGTGATTTTTCTTTTCTCAACCAAACAACATCTCAACCACCTCACCAACAAGCATATTTTTATATCAAAATGTATTACGGAGACGAGTGGTCTTCTATGTTTGACGGCACACCATATGACGGCAAGAACCTCCTGGGGTTGGTCCGCAGCGGAAAGAGTCCATTTAACGGCGTCTGGGACGTCAAACTCCTTATCCAAGAGATTGAGAAGCTCAACACGAAAATCACCGGGATTCCCATTGTCAATAAAGGATCTAATAACTATGGTTTTCATATTACGAGGGCCAATTCTTCTCGGCCTGACGACGACATGATTGTTGGTCGGTTGGCTCAAAACGACGTCAACATGCCCGACTTTGATTCGTTTCCGGTCGAGGTGCAAATCCCTGAGGTTCAATTCGAAATGGCTGTTTATAATTTGTTGAGGTCGGACCCTGGCATTTTGGCGTCTCGGCTATTCTATGGTCGTGCACCGGTTCAGTATGAGAAATTGGGATTACAGGGAGGTATTCCTCATGATATTAGTGGTAGGAGATTGTTGGTTTTTGAAAAGGCGGAGGGAAGGAATAATGTCTGGGAGGAGTTGACAGATGAGAATAAGTTTATTCTTTTGGGAGAATTGGCGGGTGTTCGTGCGGGGTTGTTTCTGTATGATCCTCCGAAGGAATTTTTGGCGGAATGGTTTTTGGAGAGATTGTTCAAGTTTAAACTGGAGGAGATGAGGATGGATGTTGCGCCTACTAGGGAGTTTTGGATGTATGTGCTTGAGGAAAAGATTAAGGCGACGATTGGGGAGGAGGGGGATATGATTGGTTGGGAGGAGGATGATGAGAGGGTTGGAAGGGTTGCTTTGGCTGCTAAGGAGAGGCTTTTAAGGGTGATTCCGTATACTGCCGGTTGATACGGGTGTGGTTGATGGGGAATCATCATTGTATCGGTTTGTTTTGGATCATGGGGATTTTGGGATTCATAATATGACTACTGCTGTTGATGAGGGTAAGCCAAGAGTGACGTCGGTGTTTGACTGGGAGACGGCGTGTATTTGGCCTGAGATTCTTTGGGATCCGTTGGTTGCTGCTGATCCGGTGGATTTGATTGTGGATGGGGAGGGTCAACCGGCTGTTACGAGGATACCGGAGGGAGTAACTCGGGATGAGCTGGGTATGTATGCGGGATGGGCTCAGCATTATGTTCAGGTATGCAATACTGCTCTTTTTTTGGGCTAACGCTGATAATCTGTTCGTCAAAGGAACTGTACCGCGATGCTCTGGGGTATGAAACTGTTATACGAGCTGGGAAAGATTTTCGTTATTTGTGGTACGCACTGCGTGACTGGCGTGGTGGTGACTCAGAGGAGTATTTTGGTAAATTGGGGACATGGGCCGAGAAGTTGATGCAAGACCGTGGATTGGTTGGTGTAAACTGAGAAGGAGTGTTCGAGAACGGACGGATATCGGTTTCACCTCCCGAGGTCCGCTCGAAACTTCTTGTTTTTCCCATCTTGGGCGCTTCTAATTTCTCAGTACGGTGGTAAACAATCATTCACGGTTCTCCATTCCGTCCTTGGTATTCTAGCTGGAAATGATTTCTCTTCTCTTGACGGTCGTATCTTTGACGATGGGGTGATTCAGACCATCAATCCACCAAGAGAAGCACAACCATGGAAGGGCGTCAGCCTTGTCAATGGCCATGCAATACAATCATCATATTTTCGACCACCATACAGCGGCCCGGCCCAGTCTCAGACAATCCAATAGTCTCAAACAACTACCGGAAACTATCAGCGTTCAATATGCAAAAAGAGGCGGCATCCAGTTTGTATGAATCCATATCCAAGGGGGCTAGGAGGAGACTGAAAAAGAACCTGGCATTTGTCGCTTTACAGACCGCAAGATAGAGTCATCATCCGTCATATTCCTCTGCGTCTATCCCACTCCGTCAGTTCCTGTTCCTTGATCTTGTTATTCCCTCTATATTTGCAGTATCCAATCACTGGTCCTTGCTGACCCATCGCGTTTCTCCAACTTAGACTACCACAAACGTAGTTCCATGACACCTCTTAAACATTCGCGCACTGATGATAACCACATTCGTTCTTGGCCCAAACTCCCGTCGAGAAACTAATGCACCCGTTCGGGGACGGCCACAACAGGGCAGCCTTTCGAGTATTGCACTGGTAATCGCCGCAGATGATCGTAGGTCCACAGGTTCGTGAGCAGGTGCTTTGGTCAGCTGTGACCCAAATTGCTGAAAACGAGCCGGACGGTCCTCTATACAAATATTCTGTTAGAAATGCCTCTTTCAGAAGCAGTGAGTGCGGTGGCTAACATACCCGGTGATCCGGCCGACACCGGGGTAGCGCGAGCCGATATAGTCCTGGCAGTTCAGATCTGCGTAAAAGTTAACTTGTCCGCCAGAACCGAGAGTTGCGAGACTGAGTACTGTAAGCAGGATGGTGGAGAAGTGCATATTGGGTTGGCTGTTTGGACAACGCTCTCCTTTTTTCTTCTTTTCTTGGGCCCGAGTTCACCGTGAAAACCTCCCTCCTCCCTCCCTCTACTCGTATTTCTGCTGTAAGTGATGGATGAGTCGAGTTCACTCTCAGTTGATTGGTTGAAGCTCAACACTGGCAGATCTGCAATGCTGAGTAAGTGAAAATTAATGCAAGATAAAAGGCCAGGCAGCTTGACAGGGCAACCAGGGTAGTTAAGTACTGAGTATCACAAGTTCTGTGCATTTCAATGTGACGCTGACCACCACATCAGAAGATATATGTAGTACGTGTATAATAACAAAGCTGGATTGCCAAGTCGGAGCTAATAGTTCTGCATGTAGCCAGCTCGGGTTTATGTCAACAACCGGCTTTTACGGTTTCTCCTTCTGGGTATTGTGATATCACTCTTCGTATTCCACCAGTGATAACAGGCAGAAATTTATGTATTTGGAAGCTGGATATAACGCGGATTGCGTCGTCACTCATGGTTTCAATTTTCGAAAATGGGACCCGGACGACTGAAGGATCAAACGGTCGGATCCCCCTTTTCGTGTTGTTGCTTGCTTGTAGGTACACTTGTTGTAGGTAAACAAGGGTCGTTGATTTTGTTTCTTTTCCCTCTCTTTTTCTTTTCTTTTCTTTTCGAAGCAAACAGAGATCTTTCTTGAAAATATTCTGACAGAGGTAAAGAGGATATTCATCGTCGGAGTTACCTGTTACCCCATCGGTCTGTCTGTTGATATTTTTGAAAAAGACAAAAGGGAAAACAATTACACCCCAAAGAACATCTCTTTTTTTTTTTTTTTTTTTTTTGCATGGTACTCTGAGTATCCGATATCGTGAATACGCTACTCAAGTCACAACCACTCTTCCACTCCCTTCTTCCACCCACCACCCACACACCACCAGGGCCTATTTGAATTCGAAAAATGGGTATGGTTTTTCGTCACCGTAGAGCAGTTAGTTTTTGGTGCTTTTCTTTGCGTTTGATTGTCCCAGCGAAGAGAATAATGTATCGAAAGACATCGGTTCGAATCCGATCGGGGACACTTCTTTTTTCTTCTTTTTTTTTAATCATCGTTTTTCTTTCTTTCTTCTTCCTCTCAAGAGTTCTATTTCTAGAGCGCTAATCCATGATTACGTATAATGAAGATTGCAACCCTTACTTGGAACTTGGAAAGCAATCATTTCTGTTTATATCCGAGGGTTTTTTTTTTTGGTCGTTTCTCCTTGTGTTGAGCATTTCACCAATGTTATTGAAGTCCATGCAAATTACTTGGCCAACACAGAGTCACAGACGTGTCTTTCCTACAGTGCTTAAAGAGGGTGATTCGGCTCATCCACCAAAATGCATGAATTTATCCACGCTCGAAAGCTCGTTACCACCCAAAAGAGTTGACGACTTTTTAAGTTCCTTCCAAAGTATCTAGCAGCAACCTTATATACCTAACCCACTTATCAAAGGGCGTATAGCGCAGTGGTAGCGCGTTCGCTTTGCAGTCATCAATCGACTTGTATGCGAAAGGCCCAGGGTTCGATCCCCTGTTCGTCCATATCTTTTTTTTTCCTTTTCCACCTCATCAGTACCTAGGTTGGAGTTTGAGCCTTTTTGGAGGAGTGTGCAGTTTCAGGTAGAGAGGGTGACCGACCGCCCAGCATAACGCATTCTTGCATAGCTAATTCTATTTTGAGCGTCCTCTCAGAAGGGAAGCTCGCCCCAGTCCTGGAGGTGTTAATGACACACACACACACATGGACGCTCTCTAAAGTCTCGCTTGTTTGGTCGAGCAAGGCTTTGTGGGCACTGGGGACAGCAAGCGGCCTGCGTATTTCCGATATTCCCTATCTTTTTAAATCCAACCTTATCAGAGGCTTTTCTCAACCCACCGCGCCACCTACATCATTAACAACAACCACAAAACCCACCACAACCATTCTTTGATGCCCAAGCAGTATCCCAGGACTATTTAAATTCGGATAAGAAGGACTAAATTCACAAGAAAATCCCTGGTTTACAGTCCCCGTAGCTTAGCGGTCAGCGTTTGGTGACTTTTCTCCTCAGCGTTTGTTTTCCCAGCGAATAGAGTTAAGGCAGCGAAAGATATCGGTTCGAATCCGATCGGGGACACTTTTATTCTTGTTAATTTCTTTTCTTCTTTCTTTTTTCTTTTTTACTTTATTCTCAAGACATATCTAGAATCATTCCAAGACCTTCTTGAAACCAAGTCCCAAACTTACCCTTAAAAGTAGAAACGCATTTTAGATGATTCGACTATTCAGATAAATGACTGAGTGTCCTCTATCTTTTTTTAATGCTGATTTACCTTCTCGATAGGTAATGCTGTGGAACAGTTCCAGCTTTGAGCCAGGCTTTCAGTGTCAGCTTGTAATCGTCAGGAACGATACTATCTTGCCAATTGGTTAAGCGGAGCATGATGGGAAGTCGAAAGGGGAAAGAAGTATGGTAGGAGGCAGGGAAGAAATAACAAGATTGGGGACTGATGCTGTCGTCTGCAGTCTGGAGTCAACCTTTCTCACTCTTGGAACCTTTGCCTCACATTGTTCGTGACTGTATCTTCAGCGCGGCATATGATAACCAAATCCGCGAATTTCTCAACGACCACTTCTGCTTGATTTTTTCATCATTCCCGGCCGATATGTCAGACGCTTGTTCAAACTCATCGCCGAAAAGTCTAGTTTATAATTTGCCGATCCAAATCACTTGATCTTCCCAGATCCAATTCCGCACGTAGAGAGTCGGGCATATTTCGTGGGCCCAGCGTGCGTACAATCCAAAGCCTGGCAAGTATGTATTAGTTGAGCGTAAGTACACCGAGTTGTCCGACGACGACGAGGCGGATGTCAAAAAGGAGAACAAGCGGAAGGAGCCTGCCGAAAAAAAAAAAAAAAAAAAAAAAAGCCGCACAAACCCAAGCTCAAAGCCAAAATAACTCTGAGGCGACAGCACACAAGCACCCACCTGCACCCGTGTCGGGAGATCAACAGCTTGGAGGTCAGTAAAGACGAGTTGGGCAAGATTCTTGATATAAGAGAGAGGCTTTCAGAGGCTACGCTTCATGATCTTTGCGATTGGGAAGAGGAGGCGCTGTGGCGTGCTGGCGAGGAGGAGGAGGAGGAGGAAATGACCTTGGTTCTCTTTTTTTTCATTCTTTTCAACCCAGTGATGTATTTTTTTCATTCTTTATTTCACTTACAAGTAAATTGTCAAGACTTCACCAAAAAAATTTGGTCTTTCCATGTTGCTTCTTTCTCAACCGTCGGCAAGTACGGACAAATGCCAAGCAGTGCCGGTGCCGCGTTTTGCCGATAGGGAAAATGATCCCTGTCATTGTTAGATGATCTGATGATCTGATAAGATGAGCCTGCATGTGGGGTTACACCGTTGTGGAGGACACAAGATCACACGGCACCCACTCACCCCTCCATCAAGGTTCCTTTCTTTTCTCTCTCTCAATGGCGTATTCGGGGTAAAACGCAAAAAACACCAAAAGAATAACCGATTCCGATGCCGGGAGAACATGAATGACAAGGGAGGAGGAGGAGGGAGAAAGTGAGGTGGGTCTGTTCTCTTTTCTCTCAATCAGGGGCTCATGATCCATCTACGTACCTTCCCCTTGCTCCCCACCCTCTTTCACGCACACTCAAATTGCTCTCATCATTCTCACCATCACCATCTGTACTCCCGTCACACACACACACAATGGGCTCAATACCAACCACCCCCCTCCGCGTCCTGATCGTAGGCGGTTCCTACGCAGGCCTCTCCGCCGCTCTCAATTTACAAGATCTCTGTACCGGCAAACCCCCAAGATGCGGTCCAAAACCCGTTGAAGGCCAAGAAACACCCATCCCATCACAACAATTCGACATTGACATTACAATCATTGACGAACGAGATGGGTTCTGTAAGCTCTTTTTCCTCACTCTTCCCCCTCTTCCCCCTCTTCCTTTCACTAATGCCATTAATCTCCCAGTCCATCTTATCGGCACCCCTTTAGCCCTAGCAGATCACTCCTACGCAGCAAAAACCTGGATCAACTACACTGACTTACCCGCCGTTCGGGACTCTTCAAACATAAATATCCTGCAAGGCACCGTCAAGCATGTAGATCAGGTTTTAAAAACGGCAAAGTATGTCACTTCTACTACCAAGGAGACGAAAACGGTAGAATACGATTACTTGATTGCTGCTGCTGGATTGAAAAGAGTCTGGCCGGTTGTTCCTCAGGCTTTGACGAAAAAGGGATGGTTATTAGAGGCGGGGAAGCATACGGATGAGGGTACCAAGGGACGATATGGGGTTTTGGTTGTTGGTGGTGGTGAGTTTCTTCTTCCTTTTGCGGCCTTCAAACCATACCTTGGATGCTGATGTTTTGCAGGCGCCGTTGGCATAGAAATGGCCGCAGAACTCAAACTCGTCCGTCCGGAACTAAACGTCACACTCGTCCATTCAAGAGAAAAACTCCTTTCCTCTGAACCATTACCTGACGATGTAAAAGAAAAGACTCTTGAGCTTCTGAGAGAAGGAGGCGTCGAAGTCTTGACTGGACTCAGAGTCAAAAAGACTGAGGAAGTCAAAGATGAGCAGCAAAAAACTTTTTACCGCGTCACCTTTGAGGATGGAAAAACGATGCTTGCAGACCAAGTCTCGTTTGCTATTTCGAGACCAGTACCTGCCACGGAGTTTTTGGGAGAAGAAGTAAAGGATGATGAAGGATATGTAAAGATTCAGCCTAGGTTTGTAATACTCATCTATTCCTTCTCAGAGAACGATAAGTGGTGAACTGACAGAAAAAAAGTCTTGCATTCCCTGAGGGATCACCCAACAACTTTGATCACTTCGCCGCGGGAGATTTGGTCAAATGGTCAGGTATTAAGCGGTGCGGCGGAGCAATGCACATGGGCTATTTTGCGGCGAATAATGTCTACCAAAGAATTATTGGGTCCAGAACGGGGAAGACTCCGGAGTTTTTACAGTTGGATGAGATTCCGCCAATGATTGGGTTGGCGGTTGGTAAAAATGCTGTGTCGTATTGGCCTCAGTCTGGTATGAGTTATGGTGAGGACGTGATGAAGTTGTTCTTTGGGGATGATTTGGGTTTTACGATTTGTTGGGACCATTTGGGACTTGGAAATGGGAAGGGTCCTGTTTGATGCCGATACAATTTGGGTTTCAAAATTTTGGGTATGAAAAAAAGTGTTGGATAAATTCGGATTTTTGGTTTTAAATATGATGACAGAAAATAAATACAATTAGACGTGATTTTTGGTGATGAAACTCTTGAAAAGATATAAATAGTTCAAGGGGTCCAAGATTGCGTCGATGCATATGATCCGCAAAGGGGAAAGCTCAGTCACCCACAAGAGAGTATAAAAGCCCTCCGTCGTCATTGATAAAGAAAATCAACGGCAACCTCCCTACCGCTTTGAAAATTGTAATATATTATGGTGGTTTTTATTGTGCTCAAAAAGGTGAAGATGCAGAAGATACGTACGTACCCTCAGTTACCAAACGAAAAAGAAAAAGGGAGGAAAACCTTTTCCGGAATAACTACTTATGGAATCCGTTCCTATCCGCATTGGCAAATAATTAAACCAACGGCACTTCAACACCACTCACCCATAAACAAACGAAAAAAAAATTAAGGTTCACTCAGATGACGCGCTCGGTAACGAATAAAAGAGGGAAGAAAAACCTCCACGGGAATGAGGAATCAGTCTCCGTCGACGATGCCGCGTTGGCATACAACCAACAACAGCTCCATACTGCTTGAAAAGTTGGAGAAAGAAAAAAAAAAAAAAAAAACCCACTTGATGAAATGATTAACTTGACCATGTTCCAAGATGTAAAGATACAGACACGCAGGGGGAAAAGCCCAGTCAACCCAGACAAGGAGAAAACCCCCCCGCCGCCGGAATATGGAAATCGGCTCCGTCTGCGTTGGCAACTGACGACACCTTAAAGCCGCTTGAAAGGTGTGAAAGAGAGTTTTTCCGTCAAAACGGCTGTATAGTATGATGTTCATGCCATTGTCCAAAGTAAACTTCACCCCAAAAAGTTCTACCCAATATAACATCCAACATTATTTATTATTTCTATAAAAAACCCATCCATAAATATACAAAAAAAAATTACAATTTCGGAACCAATCCAACCCCAGTACCACCCATAACCTTTTCATTCTCATCCAACGGACAAAGCTGAAAAAACCTTTCCCTCGAACAATGCACCAGCGCAGACCTTTTATGCGGCAAATCAATAAACTTGCCCAGTCCGAACCCGTGCATCAAGTCGTACATCAACACCGAACTATTCGTGTATTTGGGTTCCCCAACGACGCTCACGGTGCGTGGTTCGTCCAAAAACAAATAGTGCATCAAACTTGACCACCAGGCGCTGACGCGGTGAGGACCGCGGAAACGGACGTCTCCTACTAGACTGTGTCTTCCTCTGTCGTAGTCGCCTGCTGAGTAGTATGCGCCTATGCGGTCCTCCTAAAATAAAAGGTTAACTCTGGAAGTAAATGAAAGAGAAGAGAATGTGTACATACCTTGCCCCAGTATACTTCAAAGTAAGCAAAATAAATATCGTCAAACCTCGCCAAGATGGTAATCTGATGAGGATCCTCGTGCGCCTTGCGGAGGTATTCTCTATGTTGATCAAGAGTACCAGTCTCATTCCAACCCTGCGAAACACGAGGATCATTCTGCCAGGTGTGGAAAAGACCCAAGTGCTCCTCATTCTTATAATCAAGCGCAACCATGCTAAAGGTCTCTTTGAGATGTGGGATATATCTGCTGTAGACGACCGAACCAGGAACGGGCTTGGCTCTACGGCGTGGATGCCAGACCAAAGCGGTAGCGTCGGTAGTCATGACATACTCTGGAGGAGGAATTGGGAAGGCAGCAAGGTCCGCATCAGACTCCTCGGGTACCCAGGCTGGACGAGGACCAAAGGGTGAGCCGGCGCCCTGCCAGAACGCACCGCGGTAAACGAGGAGCTCTTTGGTGACTGGCGCATCCTTGATGGCAGTTGTAGGATGGTCAATTGCCAAACCGACAGCCTTGAGCTGTGCTGCGAGCTTCTCGGTGCCGAATCCGTTGAGA